GGCCTCGGAGGCCCGCCGTGGCCGTCCTCCCCCTCCTCCTCCTCCTCCTCCTCCTCCTCTTCCTCCTCCTCCTCCTCCTCCTCCTTCCTCCTCCTTTTCCCCCTTCCTCCTCCTCCTCCCCCCTCCTCCTCCGTCCCTCCTCCTCCCCCCTCTTCCTCTTCCTTCCTTCTCCTCCTTCCTCTCCTCCTCCTCCTCCTCCTCCTTCCTCTTCCTCCTCCTCTTCCTCCTCCTCCTTCCTCCTCCTCCTCCTCCTCCTCCTCCTTCCTCCTCCTTCTCCCCCTTTCTCCTCCTCCTCCCACCTCCCTCCTCCCTCTTTTTCTTCCTCCTTCCTCCGCCTCCTTCCTCTTCCTCGTTTTTCCTCCTCCTCCTCCTCCTCCTCCTTCGCCTCCTCCTCCTCCTCCTCCTCCTCCTCCTCCTCCTCCTCCTTCTCCTCCTCCTCCTCTCCTCCCTCCTCCTCCCTCCTCCTCCTCCTCCTCCTCCTCCTCCTCCTCCTCCTCCTCCTCCTCCTCCTCCTCCCCCCGGCCGTGGCCGTTCTGGCTCGAAGGGGTGGTGTCACGCTGCTGTCAGCAGTGACGCTCCTGATCGTCGGGGCCCGTCGTGTCGGCGGCGAGCGAGGGGGGAAGTGAGAAACCCAGACTTGATCGCGTCGTTAAAAAATAAGGACGGGCGTTTTTTCGCTGTTTTCGGCATTGAGGGGCCCTCGCTGGCCTCGGGGCCGTCAAAAAACGGCTCGGGACGAAAAACCGGTCCTGAGGAAAGGGTCAGGCCTTCCAGTGACGCCGTCTTGAAAAAATCAGGACGTCGCATGTCTGGGAGGAGAGGGCCGTCTCAGGAAGCGGCGGGGCTTTTCGGAAGGTCCCCCCGGCCTTCCGAGGGGTTTTCTGCGTTTTCCGGGGGGGGTTAAACAACTTGTTGGAAGGCCAGGGGACTTTCGAGCCTTCTGAGAAGGCTTTTTCCTTCTCACTCCCCCCCTCGTTCGCTGCCGATCGTGGGCGGGAGCCACATCCATTTCCTCGGCCTCGCGGGCTGGGCCCCTCTGGCCGCGACCCCGCGGGGAGTGCAATCGTCCATGCCACCGCGTAATTATCCTCGGGGTCGCGCCCCAGAGTTCACGTTCACACCGCCTGGTCGCTTTCGGGCCATATCTCGGGCCTCTGGCGGTCGTTCGAGGCGATCGGGGCGCCCCCGGAACGCCCTCGGCGAGGCGCAGCCGCTAGAAGGCATCCTGGGGTTGGAAAGCCGCCGAGAATCGACGAAAACAACCTCAAACCTCACACCTCGAAGCTCTACCCCCCCCCCGTCGTTGCCCCTATCGTCGCCCCCGGAGCGTTCCCGGAGGGAGGCGAGGCTGATGGGGAGCACCCCAGGCCGAGAGAGCCTCCAAAAGCCCACGAGGCCCTCCGAGAGAGCCAGCGGTGACGTCGCGAGGGCGTGGATACGGATACGGGCGCTTAAGTCGGGCATGTCCCCCTACACGAGGACTGTTCGAAAATAGGCAAACGGTAGTCAGGTTTGTCGACGAGTGTTGACCTTTTTGTGTCTTCTGGGATGTCTGACTGTTTCTTGCCTCTCGTCCAACAGAAGCCTGCAGGAGGGCATGCCCGACCTCAGCGTGCGCCGCGCGTGGCAGCCCCAGGCGGCCCGCGGCGGCCGACGCCGACACCGCCGCCGCGGCACGGGCGCCTCGCGCGAGCGCGGCCATGAGCGCCGAGGCGCTCGGGGCCGTCGGCGACCACCTCGAGCTGGTGGCGCAGCTGCTCCGGCCGGAGGGCGACCCCCTCGACCCCCAGGGGCCCTCCCTGCAGGGCCCTTCTTCTGCAACCCTCGCTGCCCCCCCATCTATCGCCCCCCACTACGCGACGCCCAAGCCTACTTACCTCAGATCTGGGCGATGCAATTTTTGTCACGCCGGGCGTTTTCGCCGGGTTCCAGGCCCCGGGGCCACCCGGCTCGAGAAACGGCGCAGAACGATGGGGTCTAGGGTCCAAGGCCCCGGTCGTAGTCTGTCCGCGGCTTGGCAGGTTGTCCGCAACGTCGGATCTCGGCACACACCTGCACCGATCCTGGCCAGGCCGACTCCGGGCCCAGGATCGGGGATCGGTGAGGTCTGCCTCCCTCCCCAGGCTGGGAGGGCGCGCAGTGGCACCGATCCCGGGCCCAGGAGGGGCCTCCACAGGATATCGGTGCGGAGGCGTCTGGCGGGCAGCCCTCCTGTCAGGGGCCAGGCCGCCGTGCGGGGCGAGGGCGACGGCGCGGAGCTCTCGGGCCTCCCGGATGCAGTCCGAGCAGATATGGGGCCGGTGGGTCGCGCCGCCTCGCCGATGCATCGCCGATGCGGCTCGATGCGGAGCCCGATGGTTTCCCCACGCCGACGTCGCCGGTGCATCACCGATGCATCGCGGATGCATCGGCGATGCAGCTCGATCCTCCGACCCCATCCGCTCAGACCTCATGAGAGAGGCCTCCAGGAGCTCGGGGAGCTGCTCGCGGCGTTGACGAGGAGCTCCTGTTGGGAGGAAGGCGCAAAACATACCCCGGTTCAGACGTGCTCGTGTCGTGGACAATGCATTTTCGGCCTTTGGGGGTCTTCGCTGGGCTTTGGGACCGTGATCAGCTGACTCGGGTTGAAACCCAGCCCTGCAGGGGAAACGGTCGGGGCTTCCGGGGCCCGTATTGATAAATGCAGGGTCTCAGATTTGTGTGAAGTTATCCAGTGAGCGGGGCGGAGGATCGCGTGGGTGTCCAGGTGCGGGAATGGAGTTGGACGGCAATCATGCTCCTGACCAGTTCGATACACGGCTCCGCCGCGTGACTGGCACGCGCGGCAACGCGTGCCAGGCTGGTCTGGCACACGGCAGGCGTCGTGCAGACTCGGCCGTCCTTCTCGCGGGGCGTCGAGGGTGGATCGCATTTCGGGGTGGGTTCGGTGCTCGTGGGTCGGGCCGGACGACAGGGGGGGGAGATAGGGAAAGGGGGGGTTACGAAATCTGCTGCATGTAGCTGGTTTCGGCCCCGCCCAAGGGCCCATCCCTCGATACATGGCCGGCTCCGGCGCCGGGAGGCGCCTGGAAAATCAGCTACGTGAGCTGATTCTCAAACCCCCCCTTTACTATCCCCCCCTTTCGCCCGGCCCGGGTGGGGGGGGGCTGGAAGGGGCTGTTGGGCTGGGTGGCATGGGGTGGCTGCCAGGCCGCGCGACCTGGGCCGGGCGGCCGCGCGCGTCTCTTTGCCCGACTTTCTCTACGCCTCGACTTTCTGCGCGCGGGGCCGCGGCGCTAAAGTTGTGTGCGTGCGTGCGTGCGTGCGTGCGTGCTGCGTGGGCGTGCGTGCGTGCGTGTGTGTGTGTGTGTGCCTGTGCGTGTGCGTGTGTGTGTGTGTGTGTGTGTGTGCGTGTGCGTGTGCGTGTGCGTGTGCGTGTGCGTGTGCGTGTGTGTGTGTGTGTGTGTGTGTGTGTGTGTGTGTGTGTGTGTGTGTGTGTGTGTGTGTGTGCGTGTGCGTGTGCGCGTGCGCGCGTGCGCGTGTGTGTGTGTGTGTGTGCGTGCGTGCGTGCGTGCGTGTGTGTGTGTGTGTGTGTGTGCGTGCGTGCGTGCGTGCGTGCGTGCGTGCGTGCGTGCGTGCGTGCGTGCGTGCGTGCGTGCATGCTTGTGTGTGTGTGTGTGTGCGGGCTCGGGGGCTGCTAGACGCGCGCGCGTGATTGCTATTCCACGGGTTTCTCCACCCTGTCGATGCGCGCAGGGCTGCGACGTTAAAAACTGTGTGTGTGTGCGGCAACCGAGACACTCGGTGTCTTGATTTTTCATTGTGGGTTCCTTTTGAAAACTCTGAGAGCTTGTTTTTACGTATATTAAACAATCAGGCAAGCTTACTTGCATGGCGTTCGCACCCCCCCTATCCCCCATCCCCACCCTCGCCCCTCTTCAAACGAACACCAGCGTGCAGATGACTTTCGACTTGCGTGATTTCCGCACGTGCGAATCGTTTGCGGCTTGCCTCAGGTTCAGGCCCCCCCACAGCCGTGCAAGTAATCTTGCGGGAGTCCTTGACCCTTGCCCGAGGGCCGGTGTTTCCTCCCAGGCCGTGTTTTGCCGGTCTCGAGGCTTGGCGAGGGCCCCCGCAGGCCGAAATACCGCCAAGCATGTTCCGCCGGTTCTCCCCTGACCTCTGGCGCACCCGATCTTTTTGGGACATCTCTTCGTCCCCTAGCGGTAACAGGCTTGATCAAAGGGGGGGCGGGGGGGGGGAAGGGGGCTGGTAACGTCATGGTTCGCGCCGGCGCCATCCGGGAATGCTCAAGAGGGCCCAATTCTCATTCGGCGCTGGCGCGACTAGTATCATGCTGGGGCAGGGCGGGGCCGGTCGTGGGCGTTCTCGCGGATGGCGAAGTAATACGTCATTCGACGTGGAGATCCCCATATGGTTGTGGAAGTCGATAAGGGAGAGGGAGCAGGCTTCCAAATAATTTCCAGATGTCTAAACCATGTTTCTGACATGTGTTAAATATGTAAAGCACATTCTTGAAACATTCTAGAACATGTTTTACACATGTTAGACACATGTTGTATTCAATGCTAGGATGGTTAGAGTGTCCATTGTCATGGCATCCACAACCATGTGGTGCATCGCATTTCTTGGCAGGTCCCGCCGTGAGTAACTGGTCGTGCCCGTCCAGGTGTGAGAGCGAGTCCGAGTGAACGGCGAGTGCGACGACGACGAGGACGACAAGGACAGCGGCTGCGACGAGGGACAGCGATGACGACAGCTCACAGGCAGGCAGGCGCTGAGCAGGCCCTCCCCGCTGCCTCTTCCGGCGTCCTCCTCCTGAATCCTCCGTCCTCCCTCCTCCGTCCTGGCGGCCGTCCTCCTCCCTACATTTGACGGGCACCGTAGGGGTATAAACTTTCCAGCCGCCCAGGGACAGGCGCCCCCGACAGCGAAAAAGTTTATTTTATACCGTTCTTCGCTCGCTGATACATCGATGTGATCACGGGGCTCTGAATGGACAGGAGTCGGAGCCGAGCGCCTCGTTCGATACGTCCACGCTCGAGACAGCTTCGCAGTGTGCTCGGAAAGCACCGATCTGATCTCCAAGCCACCAACATCAGGAGGGAGAGAAACACACAGACACAATTAATCGTCGACTCCCCAGAAAATATGGGAAAATATGGGAAATGGGGGGGAAGACAAAAACCAAGAAAATATAAGAAAATATGGGGAAAATGTTTATTTGTGTGTATTTATTTCTGTGTCCCAGGGTCCCTTCACAACAGGCAAACCGCCCGTGACACCCCCCACCATCTGGGCGCGAAGGGGCACACCTCCTGCCCCTGGCGGTTCTCCACAGGGTGCCGAAGCCAGTGTACTGCTCGAAACATCTTGAATCATCTGCTTTGACAGCACCGAAGTCCAGGCCACCAAACAGGCAAATCGCCTGAGGCAGCACCACCACATGTGTGCGCAGGGCCACGTGTCCCCACCCGTGGCGGCTCCTCCCTGGGGTGCTCAAGTGCCACACTTGCTACACCTCGATGAGCATGGAACTCTGACTGTATGAGTGCTGCGCGTATGAGACTGAATTTGACTTGGCCGAGGGTGGGTGCATCTGGTTGAGAGCGGTGTGTGTGTGTGCGTTCGCGCATACGAGTGAGTCCGAGCACTAGCAAGTGCGAGTCTTCGGCGACTCACCGTCGCCCCCTGCCTTTTAGGATACGCCTAGGTGGCCAAACGTTAGGGCAACCTTTGGCGATTGGACCATGCGGTCCCCCAGCCATTGAGGGTTGTGTGCATGGATTGGCCGAATTATCGGACTATCTCTTCCCCCAGCGGCTGTGGACACCTTTCGGGGAACACGTGGGGAGAAAGAAGAAGAAGAAGAAGACGAAGAAAACGAACAAAACACCTAATAAGAAGAAACAATAAGAATAAGGAGGACAACAGGAGAGGGGTGACAAAGGAGAAGAAGGCTTCTCGGGAGCCTATTGGGGCACTCTCGGGGTCTCCTGGGAGCGTCCTGGGGGCCTCTTGGAGGCATCTTGGAGGCCTCCTCGGGCCTCTTGGGGGCATTTGGGAGCTTCTTGGGGGCCTCTTTCGCCGTCGGGAAGCCGTCTTGGGGGCCTCTCTGGGCCGTCTTTGGGCCTTCTCAGGGCTTCCAGGGCCATCTTGGAGGCTTTCTTCTGCGTCTTGGCGGCCTCTTGGGACGTCTTGGGGCCTCTTGGGGCCGTTTTGGGAGCCACTTGGGCGGTTATAGGGCCATCTTGGAGGCTTTTCGGGTGCTGGGGGCGATCTTGGGGGCCCCTTGGCCTGTCTTGGGCCGTCGGAAGGCAGACATTTTCAAACACCTAAGGGGAATCAATGATTTTGGTCTCTTCGGGCCCTCCTGGAGAACTTCTTGAAGGCTTCTTGGGCCCTTTTGGAGGCCTCTTGGAGGCCTCTGGCGCCATCTTTGGCCGTCTTGGAGGCTTCTTGGACGAACTTTGGGGCATCTTGGGCTCTCTTGGGGCCGTCTGGGAGCCCTGTTGGGGCCGTCTTGGAGGCTTCTTGGGCCGTCCTGGGGTCACCTTTGAGACCTTTGGGGCCCTCTCGAGGCGATATTGGAATGCTCTTGGCCCATGATGGGCCGTCAGAAGAAGGAAAATACGCAAACACTACAATCCGTGCGAACCCGGGAAATAAAACATTGAATTTGCTTCTGCGGGCCCTCCTGGAGGATCTCTTCGAAGCTTCATGAACCGTCTTGGAGACCTCTTGAGTGCCTATTGGGTGCCTCTTGGGCCGTCTTGGAGGCTTCTTGAGCGAACTTGGTTGCATCTTGGACTCTCTTGGGCAGCTATCTTGGACCATCTTTGGGGAACTTGGGCCATCTTGGCCGTCTTGGAAGCCAACCTCGGGGATTGTGGAGCCATCTGGAGCTCGAAATCCTTTCACGACCAGGTCTGGGCAAGCCTTCCAGGTGGCCGTCGCGCTGGGCCGAAGTCCCAGGGGGAGTCCTGAAAAGAACGAAAAACCATCAAGAAGTCTAACACGCCAGGAACCCTTGTGATAAAGCAACAGGGGGCGGCGGATCGAAGACGCCTGCGTCAAATGACCGTCGCCCCTTGCCTTTTGAAATCGCCCATGTGGCCGAGCGTTGTGGCAAGAGCTCTGCCACGCTATCGGACCATGTGTTCCCCCAACGCGGGGAACACTTGGGGGAGGATGGCGGGGAAGATCAGGAGGAAGAGGAGGAGGAGGAGGAGGAGAAGGAGGAGGGGGCGTCTTGGGAGCCTCTGGGGGCACTCTTGTGGCCTCCTGGGAGCTTCCTGGGAGCCTGTTGGAGGCGTCTTGGGGGCCTCCTTGGGCCTCTACTTGGGCCGTCTGGGGGCCATCTTGGGGCCGTCTTGGGGGCCTCTTGGGCCGTTCTGGGGTCATCCTGGAGGCCTCGTGGGCGATCGGGGCTCTTGGGCCGTCCCGGACCGTCGGAAGGCCGAACAGAAGCAAATGCCCAAGTCCTTCCAAAAGGATTGT